GGCAATTCACATGCAGATGTTTGGTAAACCAGTGGTTTGCCGCTGCCCCTCTCCCCCTACCCACTAGCAGAAAAAGTGGGACGTAGAGTAGACACTGATCTCTAGGCCATGTGGAGAGTCTCCTCCACCACACCTGGCCCCTACTCTTTGCAGATAACTCTGGGGATGGCTCTATTCCAGAATAGGCCCGCTATGGAAATTCTTTTAAGCAGTTAGGAAGGAGGTCAAAGTTTCTTCCTGGGTCTTTTGGGCCTTGGTTATTTCAGCTGGAAATAATCCACATGCCAAAGAGACACGTTTCAGGGTGGCCAGTTCTGCTCACCTGTAGTGTGGATGCTGACATCCCCAAGACTGACTGGAGGAACTGAACAGAGAGAAAGACAGGTGATGCCAGAGCCCTCCCAGAAGCAGGAGGGTCTGGAGCTGTGAGGAGCTGGGCCAGGGGGCTCTGGGAGCCAGGCTGTAAGGTGGGAAGGCCCAGCTCACCGGGGACTCTGCTCCTTGGGTAGGGAGGGTGGTTGAAGGGACGGGTCAACCTTTATTTATTTATTTAAAAAAATTTTTAAATTTATTTTATCTTTTTTTTAGCGGAGGTCCTGGGGATTGAACCATGAGCTCTAAGAGTTAAGCACGAGCTCTGCCACTGAGCTATACCCTTCCCCCAGGTTAACCTTTAGACCAGCCCTAATAACAAAACTTTTTACAGCTGTAGAAATGTCATATATCTGCCCTGTCCAGTGTAGTAACCACCAGCCACACATGGCCCTTGAGCACATAAGTATGGCTCGCGTAACTGAATACTAATTTTACTTAATCTTGATTATCTTAAATTGAAACAGCCCCATGTGCCTAGTGAGTAATTTCTTGATCAGCACAGCTTTAGAGCTCCCATCAGATGATACCATCTGGGCAGAGCTGGTAGAGAATGAAAGTTAAGAAGGATTTCAGAGGAAGATGTCTCAAAGAACAGATCTTCAAGACAGGAAATACGTCACTTTCCTCTTTCAGAGTTAAACAGGAAATATGCTTGTTTTTCTAAAAAATAAATGAAGTGTGGTAAGAATACGGAGAGTAAATAGGCGTATATATAAATAACCAAACAACACTTGAAAACCAAATCTTCATTTGTTTCTAAAACTTTCAACAGCCTACATGTAACAGATATTATAGTAACACTGACTTCTTATAAGGTTATTTTCTTCTGTCAAGAATTAGAGCTCACATCCTGTCAGATGCTAATGTCCAAAAAGCATGCCTGCCTGCCTTCCTTCCTTCCTTCCTCTCCCTCTCCTTCACCCTCCCCTCTTTCTTATTCTTGTTCAGTGATAATCCTGTCAGTAGAATATTGCTTTAGAATGCTTTGAATTTGACTGCTTTAAGATGATGTGTGATTTGGTGGGGAAAAAAAAAGATCTGGAAAGACGAGTGTGAACGAGAAAGAAGGGAGAATGACTCCTATATCCTCTGGGTTAAAGGGGAGGGAACCTCGTCTGCTGACTTGGGCTCCAGCTGGGCTCCCATCATATGGCTGGATGTCAGAGCACCTCTGAGCCCCACTGTGGCCTTGACACCCACTGGCTGTGACCTGTTCTCCCAGGGGTTGAGGCTTTCCCCACCAAGGTGGACTCTGCAGACTGCTGCCAACTGGATGGAGCACAGGTCCAGCTAGGATAAAGCCAGCATTTTAAAACTTTAACTGCACTTATCTCAGACATTTTATTTATCACAAAACCAATATTATAACAACATCAAAGAAATATTTAAAAAGGAAAGGAAAAAAACCATTGTAATTCTCCACTATTCAGCCCAACCCTTGGTCATCCAATCATAACTTTCAGCAAGACAATTAAAAACTTGCCAAAGTAGAGGGGTGGGCATGCTTAGCATGCACGGGGTCCTGGGTTCAATCCTCAGTACCTCCATTTAAAAAAAAATTATTACACAGCAAAGGCAGTGCTAAGAGGGAAGTTTATAGTGATACAGGCCTTCCTCAAAAAAGAACAATCTCAAATAAACAAGTTAACCCACCACCTGAATGAATTAGAAAAGAAGAACAAAAGCCCCAAAAGCAGCAGAAGAAGGAAATAAATAAATAATCAGTGA